TAACAACATCACCATCAGAACCACTAACATCAACACCATCAGAACCACCAGCACCATCACCATCAGAGCCACAGCACCAGCACCTACACCAGCCTCACCACCACTACCACTGCCAGCCTCACCACCACTACCACTGCCAGCCTCACCACCACTACGACCACCAGCCTCACCACCACAACCAAAACCAGCCTGACCACCACCAACACAATCAGCCTCACCACCAAATACCACTACTACTACCAGCACCAACACCATCAGAATCACCAGCACCATCACCGTCAGAACCACAGCACCAGCACCACCACCAGCCTCACCAGCACTAACACTGCCAGCCTAACCACCACAACCACAACCAGCCTCACCACCACTACCACAACCAGCCTGACCACATCTACCACCACCAGACTCACCACCACTACCACCACCACTACCACAACCAGTCTCACCACCACAACCACAACCAGCCTGACCATCACTAACACAACCAGCTTCACCACCACTACCACTACAACTACCAACATCAATTTCACAATCACCACAACTACCACCAGCAACCTCACCACCACAACCACAACACCACCTGTCTCACCACCACTACCACCACCAGCCTCATCACTACTACCACCACCTGCCTCACCACCATCACTACCACCACCAGCCTCACCACAAATACCAACACCTGCCTCACCACAACTATCACCACCACCAGCCTCACCACCACTAACACCACCAGCCTCACCACCACGACCACCACCAGCCTCACCACCACTATCACCACCAGCCCCACCACCACTATCACAAACAGCCTGACCGCCACTACCACCACCAGCCTCACTACCACTAACACCACCAGCCTCACTACCACTAACACCACCAGCCTCACAACCACTACCCCCACAACTACCACCATCAATTTCACCACCACCACCACTACCACCACCAGCCTCACCAACACTACCACCAGCAGCGTCACCACCACCAGCCTCACAACCACTACCCCTACAACTACAACCATCAACTACACCACCACCACCACTACCACAACCAACCTCACCACCACTACCATCACCAGCCTCACCACCACTAACACCACCAGCCTCACTACCACCATCAGCTTTACCATCACCACCACTACCACCACCAGCGTCACTACCACTACCACCTCCAGCCTCACTACCACTACCACCACAAGCGTCACTACCACTACCACCTCCAGCCCCACTACCACTAACACCACTAGCCTCACAACCACTACCACTACAACTACCACCATCAACTTCACCATCACCACCACTACCACCACCAGCCTCTTCACCACTAACACAACTAGCCTCACCACCACTACCAAAACCAGCCTCACCACCACTACCACCACCAGCCTCACCACCACTACCACCACCAGCCTCACCACCACTACCACCACCAGCCTCACCACCATTACCACAACCAGCCTCAACACCACTAACACCACTAGCCTCACCACAACCACTATCACCACCACAGCCTCACCACCACTACACCATCACTACTCACCACTAGCCTCACCACCACTAACACCACCACTAGCACCACCACAACCACTACAACTACCACCACCATCAACTTCACCATCCACCACCAGCCTTTTCACCACCACCACCACCACCACCAACCCTCACCACCACTACTCCACCATCACCACTACCACCACACAACATCCACCACCACCCTCACCACCACTACCACCACCATCCTCACCACCACTACCACCACCATCCTCACCACCACTACCACAACCAGCCTCACCACTACCACCACCAGTCTCACCACAACTACCACCACCAGCCTCACCACAGCTACCACCGCCGCCAACGCCAGCACCAACGGCAACATGAACCCCTGTCAGGTGAGACAACTGACATATTTCTTCAGATGCAATGAGAACACTGAAAAGGGAGATAACTCGTCGAACGTTATCCTTGTTGATGACTGGGACTCCCAAGTTGCATGACTTGATGACTGTATCCTTTGTATTGTTCAGCTGACTTGATGACTGTATCCTTTGTATTGTTCAGCTGACTTGATGACTGTATCCTTTGTATTGTTTAGCTGACTTGATGACTGTATCCTTTGTATTGTTCAGCTGACTTGATGACTGTATCCTTTGTATTGTTCAGCTGACTTGATGACTGTATCCTTTGTATTGTTCAGCTGACTTGAGGACTTGATGACTGTATCCTTTGTATTGTTTAGCTGACTTGATGACTGTATCCTTTGTATTGTTCAGCTGACTTGATGACTGTATCCTTTGTATTGTTCAGCTGACTTGATGACTGTATCCTTTGTATTGTTCAGCTGACTTGATGACTGTATCCTTTGTATTGTTCAGCTGACTTGAGGACTGTATCCTTTGTATTGTTCAGCTGACTTGAGAACTGTATCCTTTGTATTGTTCAGCTGACTTGAGGACTGTATCAATCTTTATTTCAGTACTGAGGAGGCCACAGGCCTATAGTACATTTCATATATACAAATTTCTTATCGACATGGCTTGATAAATGAAAACCGCAACAGTTTTAATTACACTTTCATTTGAAGAATTCAATAGAGACGAAAATTTATCAATTGATGGATGGACAAAATAGAGTTCTTTAATATATATTTTTTCATATAGTATTATATGCTGGGCATAGTAGAAGAAAATGATATTCGTCTTCTATAAAATTATTATTACAACATCTACATATTCTATCCTCTCTTTTGATATTGAGATGAACAACGGAAACGAGCTAAAGCTATTCTATATTATTTTTAACATTAACACATGATAAATAACGTTCAGTATAAATGTGTGTTTTAAAGATTGAATAATAATTACATTTTGTAGCTAATGAAATTGTTTCCAACCATTTCTGCTGGTAAATATCTTTTAATCTTTGCGTGAATGCATTTAGAAACAATGACGATGTGATAAACAAAATGAAGATTCATTCATCGTCAGAGTGCTCATTTATTCCACTTCTCATGTCAGTTCATGTTCAGGTCCCTCAAATTCATAGTTTCACAGATTCAAGCTCAAGACATACATATTCAATTTCATCATTCTCAATTCTCATCATAAATCCTCTCAGACGAATGAAATGTTTGACTGTAAAAACCCCAAAAATAGTAATAGGTACCTAAAGTATTACATGTCTAAAAAAATTACAGTCAATAAATGGAAAAAATAGATGAAATACATTTATTTTAACCTACACCCTAACCTTATAAAATACACTTTAAATTTACTCAATGAAGAAATTTAACCAGTGCATGAAAACTAAGTACATTTATCAAACATGGCAATAAAACATGGAAAATTTATTATAGTAATATTTTATGCATTACCATATCTCAAACACACAAATAAATTATATTAACAATAAAAATATCTACATACCATTTTGTTAGACCCCATTTGCTCAGCTTTCCATATCTCAAAAACAAAATGTCTTCACTCAGACCACATGACCACATGACCACATGGACTGCATCCTTTGTATTGTTCAGCTCACTTGTGGATTGTGTGTTTTCTATTGCTCAGCTGACTTGAGGACTGTATGCTTTGTATTTTGTTAGCTGACTTCAGAATTGTGTGTTTTCTATTGTTCAGTTGACTTAAATACTGTATCCTTTGTATTGTTCAGCTCACTTGTGGATTGTGAGTTTTCTATTGTTCAATTGAATTGTTTTCTGAATCGTTTGTATTGTCAGGGACCATATTCCGATATATGTATATCCCCAGGTCAGCTGAACAATACCAGAGACCATATACATATATATTGTTCAGCTGACCTTGGGACTGTATCCTTTGTCTTGTTCAGCTGATCTGAGGACTGTATGTTTTGTATTGTTCAGCTGACCTGAGGACTGTATGTTTTGTATTGTTCAGCTGACCTGAGGACTGTATGTTTTGTATTGTTCAGCTGACTTAAGGGCTGTATCCTTTGTATTGTTCAGCTGGCTCGTGGGCATGTGTGTAGCTGCTGTTCCTGGCTCCAGCTGTGAGAACGCAATGCTAGTGAGTACCTGTTGTTCTAAGTAACTGAGTCAACGTGTTTTTTAACAGTACATTAAGGTCAGAACTCCGACGGCAGGTCGGGGTCGGTCTGACCTGTCCATCCAACCTGTTTGAAGCCAGGTAGAGTTTGATCATGCATGACTCACCTCGCTCTGTCATACAGCAGCAAACCACGGTGCCCATGATCTACGAACAGTTGCTCTTCCTCAGTACACACATGTAATAACACCATTTTATAACATCGTATAATAACACCGTGTAATAACACCGTATAATAACACCATGTAATAACACCGTGTAATCTCACCGTATAATGACATCGTGTAATAACACCGTACAATAACACCATGTAATAACACCGTATAATAACAGCGTATAATAACACCGTCTAATGACACCGTGTAATAACACCATGTAATAACACCGTGTAATAACTGACTGACTGACTGACTGAGTTTAGTTTTACGCCGCTTTTGGCAATATTCCAGCAATATCACGGCGGGGGACGCCAGAAATGGGCTTAACACATTGTGCCCATGTGGGGAATCGAACCCGGGTCTTCGGCGTGACGAGCCAACGCTTTAACCACTAGGCTACCCCACCGCCTCCCGTGTAATAACTCCGTATAATAACACCATGTAATAACACCGTATAATAACACCATGTAATGACACCGTGTAATAACACCATGTAATAACACCGTATAATAACACCCTGTAATAACACCATGTAATAACACCGTGTAATAACACCGTATAATAACACCGTGTAATAACACCGTATAATAACACCATGTAAACTCACATTGGATTGAATAAGCGAGCAACAAGGACCCCTAGCCACCGCTCAAGGCTCTAATGAAATGAACCTTATCACATTATCGACTGCCTAGCCTTGTGGAATCCCACCGCCGTTGTGGAAGAAAAGTATTAATTATGCATGGCGTGCTGAGATGGTGAGACAGGACGAGGCTGGCAGGCTGGGGAGGGAAGAGGGATGTTGCTATGTAGTCCTCTGAAGTCGGAATTTTACACTTGAATAATCGGCGGGGAACGAGCAGTGCGTGTCGGTTCTCATCTCTGATGACTGTCAATCCCCGCTCAGTGAGCGTCTTGCTCGTGCAGTGACTACCAGTCTTCACGTTCGTAGCAGATCGATAAAATTGACATGCTTGTTCTGATAAAATTTTGCTTCGGGAACTAAGTTGGACGAAGAAAGAGGACAACCTGTTTTTACAACCTGGGAGAGAGTAGTTGATCGTTAACACGCTGTTGGTGGAGTCGGAATGTTGGAGTCACAGACGCCGCCTCAGCGACTACATCCGTCCCTCCTCCCCGTTCACCTGTAGCTGGTCAGCTGGTCATCAGAGAGGTCGCGTGACCCACACGATCAGGACGTGCCCATGGAGCTAGCGAGGACTGCACGCGCGACTTGATGAACTAAACTGTGTGTGACTCGATGAAGCGCCTGCTCCAATGGGTTGAAACGGACCATACAGCACGGTTGTGAGTATTAACCTATACACTTCTCACACAACTTATAGCAGATATATACTAGCACTGAAACTCTCTTCGACCGGAAACAAACCCTCACCAGCTTCCGTGTTACCCCCGCCCCTCCTGCTGGATGCAAGCTGTCTGCAGGATGAGCTTCACGTAGACAACACAAACTCAGTTTATGCTAATATTGGTAGTTGTAGATCTACATGTGCAGGACGAGCCGGGATAACACGATCAACTAAAAGCGTACACCATAGTTACATGGCAGCAGCATAGCTAACTCGCAGGAATGAAACGTATACACTGTTGTGTGAGCTACTTGTGTCATTGTCACAAGGGTCAAGGGTCTGACTGTCACACGAGCAACCTGTATCCATGTGTCACAATCTGTATCCATGTGTCACAGTCTGTCTTCATGTGTCACAGTCTGTATCCGTCTGTCACAGTTTGTATCCATGTCTGACAGTCTATATCCATGTGTGACAGTCTGTATCGATGAGTCACACTCTGCATCCATGTCACAGTCTGTATTCATGTGCCACAGTCTGTATTCATGTGCCACAGTCTGTATTCATGTGTCACTGTCTGTATCCATGTGTCACTGTCTGTATTCACGTGCAACAGTCTGTATTCATGTGTCACTGTCTGTATCCATGTGTCACAGTCTGCATTCATATGTAACAGTCTGTATTCATGTGTCACAGTCTGTATTCATGTGTCACTGTCTGTATCCATGTGTCACTGTCTGTATCCATGTGTCACAGTCTGTATTCATATGTCACAGTCTGTATTCATGTGTCACAGTCTGTATCAATGTGTCACAGTCTGTATCCATATGTAACAGTCTGTATTCATATGTCACAGTCTGTATCAATGTGTCACAGTCTGTATCAATGTGTCACAGTCTGTATCTACACGGTACCTAACATGTTACACTCACGTTCATTACAACACTGTCCACATAGCAACACATTACACTCACGTACATCAAGACTGTCTACACAGTGACAGGTTACACTCACATACATTACAACACTGTCTACATAGCATCAGGCTGCACTCACGTACATTGCAACACTGTTTACATAGCAACAGGTTACACTCACCTACATTACAACACTGTCTACATAGCATCAGGCTGCACTCACGTACATTGCAACACTGTTTACATAGCAACAGGTTACACTCACCTACATTGCAACACTGTCTACATAGCCACAGGTTACACTCACGTACATCAAGATACTGTCTACATAGCAACAGGTTACGTTCAGATACGCTGGAACACTCTCTCTATCTGTTGATCTTTGTCTCGGGCTGCAATAATCACATTACGATCATGTCGTGTTATTGTCATAGCTGCCGATTTTGCAATAGCCCAGAGATCGATGACCAAGACTCATCGTTTAATCGGGAGGAAACGCGCTGATTGATTGTAGCGTGCCCCGTCGGTAATTATCGTGAAAACATCACGGCTTGCCCCACCAGGACGCTGAGTCTGTCTCATGCATGCTCACGTGATGTTTTAGTGGGGAGACCAGCTGATTCACGTGTTGTTTTAGTGGGAAGACTAGCTGACTCACGTGATGTTTTAGTGGGAAGACCAGCTGACTCACGTGATGTTTTAGTGGGAAGACCAGCTGACTCACGTGTTGTTTTAGTGGGAAGACCATCTGACTCACGTGATGTTTTAGTGGGGAGACCAGCTGATTCACGTGATGTTTTAGTTGGGAGACCAGCTGATTCACGTGATGTTTTAGTGGGAAGACCATCTGACTCACGTGATGTTTTAGTGGGAAGACCAGCTGATTCACGTGATGTTTTAGTGGGAAGACCATCTGACTCACGTGATGTTTTAGTGGGGAGACCAGCTGATTCACGTGATGTTTTAGTGGGAAGACCAGCTGATTCACGTGATGTTTTAGTGGGAAGACCATCTGACTCACGTGATGTTTTAGTGGGAAGACCAGCTGATTCACGTGATGTTTTAGCGGGAAGACCATCTGACTCACGTGATGTTTTAGTGGGAAGACCAGCCTGATTCAGTACACTAGTCATATCACCATTGTTTTTTCAGTTATGACAAGATGTTTAGGAAAACCTTTCACATTTCTCGGCACAGAATCTACAAGGATGAAAATGGCGGCATGTAAAACACATTGGACGATGCGTTACACGTCGCCGCTGTGACTGTAGTAGACATGGACAGAGCTCCGATTATCAGAATAAATGAAGGCCGTAAAAGAAACATGAGCGAAATATAAATGCGGCTTTATGTTTCTCAGTGCCATAAACTGTACTCTCGGCAAAGTATTTTCCATTAAGTTTATGTCATCGTAATCGATATTCTATCTGCGGCCGATACTTGAGTGATACCAGATGGTGAAGGACTGTTCTTGTGCTGAGGTATGCGTTCATATCAGTTTGGGCTTTCATCACGTCACTGGACATACACACCATAGATAACATTGGCTTATGTAAGTTCTCATAACTGTTACTGGACAGCTCAGTACCCACGATATGAATAGGTTTGAACGGTATCACATCAAGGATGCCAGTGCAGCTTCGGAATCCTGGCAATCTCGGAAACATGGATCTGAATTCATGGATCTGATCATTGCTACTTCATCAAGATCTGAGTTATCACTGCTTCATAAAGATCTGCGTTATCACTGCTTCATCAAGATCTGTGTTATCACTGCTTCATCAAGATCTGCGTTATCACTGCTTCATCAGGATCTGCGTTATCACTGCTTCATCAAGATCTGCGTTATCACTGCTTCATCAGGATCTGCGTTATCACTGCTTCATCAGGATCTGCGTTAACACTGCTTCATCAAGATCTGCGTAATCACTGCGTCATCAAGATCTAAGTTATCACTGCTTCATCAAGATCTAAGGTATCACTGCTTCCCCAGCTTCTTGACCATTGAACTCAAACCTTGGTTATTGCATCGTTAGAATTTAGGTCACCTCGTCTTTAACTTCAAGATCATAACAAGGTCTTTAGCTTCAAGGTTATCCCAACGTCTTTTGGTTATTGCATAGTCAGATTTTAGGTCACCTCGTCTTTAGCTTCAAGGTCATCCCAACATCTTTTGATGTTAGGTCACCCCCACGTCATTTGACGTTACGTCGTCCCCACGTCTTTCGATGTTAGGTCATCCCCACATCTTTTGACGTTAAGTCATCCCCACATCTTCTGACGTTAGGTCACCCCACGTGTTTTGTCGTTAGGTCGTCCCCGGTCCTTCGATGTTAGGTCATCCCCACGTCTTTTGACGTTAGGTTGTCCCCGCGTCTTTTGATGATATGTCATCCTCACGTGTTTTGTCGTTAGGTCGTCCCCGGGTCCTTTAATGTTAGGTCATCCCCATGTCTTTTGACGTTAGGTTGTCCCCACGTCTTTCGATGATATGTCATCCTCACGTCTTTCGATGTTAGGTCATCCTCACGTCTTTTGACGTTAGTTGTCCCCGCGTCTTTCAATGCAAGGTCATCCCCACGTCTTTGGATGTTAAGTCATCCCCATGTCTTTTGACGTTATATCATTACCATGTCTTTTGCTGATAGGTCATTCCTACGTCTTTTACGTTAGGTCATCCCCACGTCTTTTGCAGTTTGGTCATCCCCACGTCTTTTGATGTTAGGTCATCCCCAGGTCTTTGGATGTTAGGTCATTCCCATGTCATTTGACGTTAGGTCATCCCACGACTTTTGATGTTAGGTCATTCCCATGTCTTTAGATGTTAGGTCATCTCCGCATCTGTTGATGTTAGGTCATCCCCACGTCTTTCGATGTTTGGTCATCTCCACGTCCTTCGATGTTAGGTCATCCCAACGTCTTTTGACGTTAGGTCATCCCCACGTGTTTCGATGTTAAATCATTACCATGTCTTTAGATGTTAGGTAATCACCACATCTTTCAATGTTAGGTCATCCCCGCGTCTTTCGATGTTTGGTCGTCCCCGCATATGTTTACGTTAGGTCATCCACACGTCTTTCGACGTTAGGTTGTCCCCGCATCTTTCGATGTGAGGTCATCCCCACGTCTTTGGATGTTAGGTCATCCCCATGTCTTTGGATGTAAGGTCATCCCCACGTCTTTGGATGTTAAGTCGTCCCCGCGTCTTTGGATGTTAGGTCATCCCCATGTCTTTTGACGTTAGGTCATCCCCACGTCTTTGGATGTAAGGTCATCCCCACGTCTTTGGATGTTAAGTCGTCCCCACGTCTTTGGATGTTAGGTCATCCCCATGTCTTTTGATGTTAGGTCATCCCCACGTCTTTGGATGTTAAGTCGTCCCCGCGTCTTTGGATGTTAGGTCATCCCCATGTCTTTTGATGTTAGGTCATCCCCACGTCTTTCGATGTTAGGTCATCCCCATGTCTTTTGATGTTAGGTCTTCCCCGCGTCTTTCGATGTGAGGCCATCCCCACGTCTTTGGATGTTAGGTCATCCCCACGTCTTTGGATGTTAGGTCATCCCCACGTCTTTTGATGTTAGGTCGTCCCCGCGTCTTTTGATGCAAGGGCATCCCCACGTCTTTTGATGTTAGGTCGTCCCCGCGTCTTTAAATGTTAGGTCGTCCCCGCGTCTTTAGATGTTAGGTCATCCCCATGTCTTTTGACGTTAGGTCATCCCCACGTCTTTGGATGTTAGGTCATCCCCATGTCTCTAGATGTTAGGTCATCCCCATGTCTCTAGATGTTAGGTCATCCCCATGCCTTTTGACGTTAGGTCGTCCCCGCATCTTTCGATGTGAGGTCATCCCCACGTCTTTGGATGTTAGGTCATCCCCATGTCTTTGGATGTTAGGTCATCCCCACGTCTTTGGATGCTAGGGCATTCCCACGTCTTTGGATGTTAGGTCGTCCCCGCGTCTTTGGATGCTAGGGCATCCCCACGTCTTTTGATGTTAGGTCGTCCCCGCGTCTTTAAATGTTAAGTCGTCCCCGCATCTTTAGATGTGAGGTCATCCCCATGTCTTTTGACGTTAGGTCACCCCACGACCTTTGATGTTAGGTCATCCCCACGTCTTTCGATGTTAGGTCATCCCCATGTCTCTAGATGTTAGGTCATCCCCATGTCTCTAAATGTTAGGTCATCCCCACGTCTTTCTATGTGAGGTCATCCCCATGTCTTTTGACGTTAGGTCATCCCTTATGTCTTTGGATGTAAGGTCATTCCCATTTTTTTGATGTTAGGTCATCCCTACGTCTTTGGATGTTAGGTCATCCCCACGTCTTTGGATGTTAGGTCATCCCCATGTCTTTTGATGTTAGGTCATCCCCACGTCTTTTGATGTTAGGTCGTCCCCGCGTCTTTAGATGTTAGGTCATCCCTAGGTCTTTGGATGCTAGGGCATCCCCATGTCTTTTGATGTTAGGTCGTCCCCGCGTCTTTAGATGTTAGGTCGTTCCCGCGTCTTTAGATGTTAGGTCATCCCCATGTCTTTTGACGTTATGTCACCCCACGACTTTTGATGTTAGGTCATCCCCACGTCTTTGGGTGTTAGGTCATCCCCATGTCTTTAGATGTTAGGTCATCCCCACGTCTTTCGATGTGAGGTCATGTCCATGTCTTTTGACGTTAGTTCGTCCCCGCGTCTTTCGATGTGAGGCCATCCCCACGTCTTTGGATGTTAGGTCATCCCCACGTCTTTGGATGTTAGGTCATCCCCATGTCTTTTGATGTTAGGTCATCCCCACGTCTTTTGATGTTAGGTCGTCCCCGCGTCTTTAGATGTTAGGTCATCCTTAGGTCTTTGGATGCTAGGTCATCCCCACGTCTTTTGATGTTAGGTCGTCCCCGCGTCTTTAGATGTTAGGTCGTCCCCGCGTCTTTAGATGTTGGGTCATCCCCACGTCTTTTGACGTTAGGTCACCCCACGACTTTTGTTGTTAGTTCATCCCCACGTCCTTCGATGTTAGGTCATCCCTACGTCTTTTGACGTTAGGTCATCCCCACGTCTTTTGACGTTAGGTCATCTCCACGTTTTCGTTGTTAGGTCATCCCCACGTCTTTTGACGTTAGGTCATCCCCACGGTTTTTGCTGTTAGGTCATCCCCACGTCTTTCGATGTGAGGTCATCTCCATGTCTTTTGACGTTAGTTCGTCCCCGCGTCTTTCGATGTGAGGCCATCCCCACGTCTTTGGATGTTAGGTCATCCCCATGTCTTTTGATGTTAGGTCATCCCCACGTCTTTTGATGTTAGGTCGTCCCCGCGTCTTTAGATGTTAGGTCATCCTTAGGTCTTTGGATGCTAGGGCATCCCCACGTCTTTTGATGTTAGGTCGTCCCCGCGTCTTTAGATGTTAGGTCGTCCCCGCGTCTTTAGATGTTGGGTCATCCCCATGTCTCTTGACGTTAGGTGACCCCACGACTTTTGTTGTTAGTTCATCCCCACATCCTTCGATGTTAGGTCATCCCTACGTCTTTTGACGTTAGGTCATCCCCACGTCTTTTGACGTTAGGTCATCTCCACGTTTTCGTTGTTAGGTCATCCCCACGTCTTTTGACGTTAGGTCATCCCCACGGTTTTTGCTGTTAGGTGATCCCCACGTCTTTTGACGTTAGGTCGTCCTCGCATCTTTCAATGTGAGGTCATCCCCACGTCTTTGGATGTTTTGTCATCTCCACGTCCTTCGATGTTAGGTCATCCCCACGTCTTTTGACGTTAGGTAATCCCCACGTCTTTTGACGTTAGGTCGTCCTCGCATCTTTCAATGTGAGGTCATCCCCACGTCTTTGGATGTTTTGTCATCTCCACGTCCTTCGATGTTAGGTCATCCCCACGTCTTTTGACGTTAGGTCATCCCCACGTCTTTTACTGTTAGGCCATCCCCAGGTCTTTTGACGTTAGGTCTTCCCTACGTGTTTTACTGTTAGGCCATCCCCACGTCTTTTGACGTTAGGTCATCCCCACGTCTTTTACTGTTAGGCCATCCCCAGGTCTTTTGACGTTAGGTCTTCCCTACGTGTTTTGACGTTAGGTCGTCCCCATGTCTTTTGACGTTAGGTCATCCCCACGTGTTTTGACGTTAGGTCGTCCTCGCGTCTTTCGATGTTTGGTCATCCCCACGTTTTTTGCTGTTAGGTGATCCCCACGTCTTTTGACGTTAGGTCGTCCCCGCATCTTTCGATGTGAGGTCATCCCCACGTCTTTGGATGTTAGGCCATCCCCAGGTCTTTTGACGTTAGGTCGTCCCCACGTCTTTTGACGTTAGATCATCTTCACGCTGCAGATCAGCCTCATGTCTTTAATTTCTAAGTCAACCCCCACCTAACACATCCCCATATACCGGTAACAATCGTTCTACTCCGACCCGGTGGGGGGTAGGCTGCATACTTTAGTGTGATGGGATCACAGACAACACACTAGCCGTATTGAGCATGTTCGTCTTCTCAGTCGCCGTCCTACAGCTACTTGAAACATCGACTTACAGCGACAAGCTGTCATAATGATCTCTTCCAGAAGACACAATGCATGCATAACAGTTATAACAGGAATATGTGGTCAGTATGTTTGCACACTGTGGTGAACGTGTATATTCCCCTCTGTATGTTTGCACACTGTGGTGAACGTGTATATTCCCCTCTGTATGTTTGCACACTGTGGTGAACGTGTATATTTCCCTCTGTATGTTTGCACACTGTGGTGAACGTGTATATTCCCCTCTGTATGTTTGCACACTGTGGTGAACGTGTATATTCCCCTCTGTATGTTTGCACACTGTGGTGAACGTGTATATTCCCCTCTGTATGTTTGCACACTGTGGTGAACGTGTATATTCCCCTCTGTATGTTTGCACACTGTGGTGAACGTGTATATTCCCCTCTGTATATTTGCACACTGTGGTGAACGTGTATATTCCCCTCTGTATGTTTGCACACTGTGGTGAACGTGTATATTCCCCTCTGTATGTTTGCACATTGTGGTGAACGTGTATATTCCCCTCTGTATGTTTGCACACTGTGGTGAACGTGTATATTTCCCTCTGTATGTTTGCACACTGTGGTGAACGTGATATTCGTGTATATGTATATTCCCCTCTGTATGTTTGCACATTGTGGTGAACGTGTATATTCCCCTCTGTATGTTTGCACATTGTGGTGAAGGTGTATATTTCCCTCTGTATGTTTGCACATTGTGTCCACAGGTTAGCTCAATACGTTGGTGAACGTGTATATTCCCCTCTGTATGTTTGCACATTGTGTCCACAGGTTAGCTCAATACGTTGGTGAACGTGTATATTTCCCTCTGTATGTTTGCACACTGTGGTGAACGGGTTAGCTCAATACGTTGGTGAACGTGTATATTCCCCTCTGTATGTTTGCACATTGTGTCCACAGGTTAGCTCAATACGTTGGTGAACGTGTATATTCCCCTCTGTATGTTTGCACATTGTGTCCACAGGTTAGCTCAATACGTTGGTGAACGTGTATATTCCCCTCTGTATGTTTGCACATTGTGTCCACAGGTTAGCTCAATACGTTGGTGAACGTGTATATTCCCCTCTGTATGTTTGCACATTGTGTCCACAGGTTAGCTCAATACGTTGGTGAACGTGTATATTCCCCTCTGTATGTTTGCACACTGTGGTGAACGTGTATATTTCCCTCTGTATGTTTGCACATTGTGGTGAACGTGTATATTCCCCTCTGTATGTTTGCACACTGTGGTGAACGTGTATATTCCCCTCTGTATGTTTGCACATTGTGTCCACAGGTTGCCTGATGATGCAAACAGTGATCACCTGGAGACGGCCGATGGATGCCAGTATCTACCCTCCCACGGGCAACCCATGCACCTACCTGCTGGGGAACGCGCTGTGCTACATCATCTCGGGGATGCTGCTGCTAGTGGTTGGTGTTATCATAACGTCACTGACGTTCCAGAATCTGGAGGATTACCAAGATGAGAACAAAGAACGTTACGCGGGTCCAGTGTTGATTGGGGCTGGGATACTGGTGATCGCTCGCGGGGCGTTCAGTCGACTCCGGCCTCACAGGTCGAACCTTGCTCGGAGACGCTCGCTGTTGAGGCGTTACGTCAGGGAGGTGTACAGTCGCCCCATTTTAGCAGTAAGTGTCACTGTTTCATGTCTTCACCCCAATATACAGAAGTATTTATAACTTGATGTTATCTAGATGGTTTTAAAGCGTCAACACGCACGTGTCTTCACCCCTTATCTCGATGCCAAACAATGTATGTACGACGACAACGTTAACTGGCCGGTGTTAACGAGTCAGGATTCACATGCTTTCAGAATGCTGTCTAGCGAGTACTAGTCTATATTCACCCGTACCTTGTGTTTTGGAACATTCTTTTGGACCCTTTCAGTCACTGGGTTGTCCAGACTTAGATTATAAACAGACCCAGAAGTTGTTGGGTGCAGCATGTGACAATATTCGTCATTCATACACTCCATTTAGTACGACGCTTTCACGTTACGCACGTGGGTTATCACCCAGCATGACATTTAGACAATCTATATACCTGGAGCAAGGACTGGTTGGTCTCATGGAATCCCAAGAAGCAATGTTTTGTTGATGAAACTAAAGAATTGAAATTATTTTTTTGACGGAAAGCAAATCAATTTAGGGATGGTTGTACCGTACAACAGATGGAAAACTTAGCGAAACCTCAGTTATAAGCTGTCAGAATAGTTACGGGTCTTACTAGATATACCTCACGGGAAATTCTATATTATAAGACAGGATGGGAAAGGCTGGATGAAGGAAGAAAAAGAAGAATGCTTTATCCATTCTATAAAATGATTAGCTCCTGTATACTTAAAAGATATCATTCCAGACAATGTAGGATCAAGATATACTAATAACCTTCTGCTGGGTCAGGACATACGTATCATTCCTCTGTCATCTAGAAGGTTATGGAACAGTTGTTCTGATACCGAAAGAAATCGGCCTTCATTTCAAAGTTTCAAGCCATACTTAAAGTGTCAGCAGCCTGTAGCTCCACCATATTACTCGTTTAGAATTAGCAAATTTAATATTATACCAACAAAGTTGAGATATATGACTAGTCAGCTAAACCATGACCTGTATCCTTTCAACATGAAAGAGTCGGCTTCTTGTCTCTGCGGCAACGCTTGTGGAAATGTACATCACTGCCTGTTAGAGTAAACTGTATAACATTCAAAGAGAGACCTTAGTGTTAAAGTTTAAAAGTATTGTCAAATGTGATTCTCCAGTCACATTGTCATTAATGTTACTTGGAAGTCCAGATATGGCTATTCAACAGAATGAATATGTTTTCAAATGTGTTTTTATTTATCAATCACGTGTCCCTTCCTCTCTTCCCCATCAACTTTCCTATACTTTCTATCTATTCCCTCCCAGGTTGTATGATAGTGAAAATGCATGTATGTAAATATTAGGGAGGGGGTATTTTAAGATGGATAACTTCTCCAATCCCTTTCACATTTGTGGATAAAATATGTTTAAATCAAACTGGAATAAATGGTTCACCTCCAGGTGTACTGTGTGTAACTGACATTGGAGACAGATGTCCTCACATGAGAGTACAAGTAGTGTTGTGTTTCTCCGAGACAGTGTGATGTGCGGGCGCTGATTGCCACGGCAGTCCCGGCAATCAATGAAGACCCCACACCTGCGCTCGCTGCTGGCAACGCGAGGAGAACCCGTCTCTCTTGAACTGCTTGTCAATAGAATTAGCTCGATAATGTAAAAACCAAGCAACAAATCACTGGCAGATAGCAACTGATCTGGTGATATATCTTAGTAATTATACAAAACTCACCTTTTCTCCATCAGTCCTCAGTTGCTCCTATTTGACAAATAACACCTGCTCCTGTATCTCGTAGCAGCATAAGCTGCATAAAGGACTGGGGGATATTGGTTGCAGCCAGCCGAGCTTTGTCAAGTAGGTTGGAAAAGCAAGACTTTATGTAGGCTTCGACCTTAGGCAGCGATGCGACTTGTGTAATAGCATTGGTAGGATTGAATAAGGAAGGAATAACATTGGTAGGATTGAATAAGGAAGGAATAACATGGGTAGGATTGAATAAGGAAGGAATAACATAGGTAGGATTGAATAAGGAAGGAATAACATGGGTAGGATTGAATAAGGAAGGAATAACATGGGTAGGATTGAATAAGGAAGTAATAACATTGGTAGGATTGAATAAGGAAGGAATAACATGGGTAGGATTGAATAAGGAAGGAATAACATAGGCAGGATTGAATAAGGAAGGAATAACATGGGTAGGATTGAATAAGGAAGGAATAACATGGGTAGGATTGAATAAGGAAGGAATAACATAGGTAGGATTGAATAAGGAAGGAATAACATTGGTAGGATTGAATAAGGAAGGAATAACATGGGTAGGATTGAATAAGGAAGGAATAACATTGGTAGGATTGAATAAGGAAGGAATAACATGGGTAGGATTGAATAAGGAAGGAATAACATAGGCAGGATTGAATAAGGAAGGAATAACATGGGTAGGATTGAATCAGGATGGAATATCATTAGTAGGATTGAATCAAGGTGGAATAACATTGGTAGGATTGAATCAGCAACGAATAACATTGGTAGGACTGAATAAGGGTGGAATTCAGGGATGATTTTTAAATGCCTGTTCCCAGCGGATTATAAGATCATTGGCTATCCCTAGATATCAAGCCTTCGTCTATATGGAAGATCATTGGCTATCCCTAGATATCAAGCCTTCGTCTATATGGAAGATCATTGGCTATCCCTAGATATCAAGCCTTCGTCTATATGGAAGATCATTGGCTATCCCTAGATATCAAGCCTTCGATAAGATCATTGGCTATCCCTAGATATCAAGCCTTCTTCTATATGGAAGATCATTGGCTATCCCTAGATATCAAGCCTTCGTCTATATGGAAGATCATTGGCTATCCCTAGATATCAAGCCTTCGTCTATATGGAAGATCATTGGCTATCCCTAGATATCAAGCCTTCGTCTATATGGAAGATCATTGGCTATCCCTAGATATCAAGCCTTCGTCTATATGGAAGATCATTGGCTATCCCTAGATATCAAGCCTTCGTCTATATGGAAGGTCATTGGCTATCCCTAGATATCAAGCCTTCTTCTATATGGAAGATCATTGGCTATCCCTAGATATCAAGCCTTCGTCTATATGGAAGATCATTGGCTATCCCTAGATATCAAGCCTTCGTCTATATGGAAGATCATTGGCTATCCCTAGATATCAAGCCTTCGTCTATATGGAAGGTCAGCCACTGTGGTTATCAGCTGAACATTATTATCATTGACTTAATGGTTTTACCACTCCTATTTTATTTCATACTGGCCTCTTCGTTGTGCACTCATACATATCATACACATTCATCCTTTGCGGTAATTTGTATTGAATTGTGAACCTACATAATTGGTTCACTGGTAACAGCACAGTAACGCCACAGGTAACAGCACTGGTAACATAACTGGTAACGCCACAGGTAACAGCACAGGTAACAGCACTGGTAACATCACTGGCAACGGCACTGCTAACATCACTGGCAACGGCACTGCTAACGGCACATGTAACAGCAATGGTAACGGCACAGGTAACATAACTGGTAACATCACTGCTAACGGCACAGGTAACAGCACTTAAATAAGCGATGAAAATATTCACGAAGCGGTAGCTGTTGTGATTTTGAAACAATGGCGTGAGTTGGCCTTCTTACGTCGTCGTAATTACGTGCAGAAAGTTTTATATCATACTGAATAAGCCTATGGCTGTTCCATTCCAGATTGCACTTGGTCGCAACAGCATGAACATAGCATTTCCAAACCACTGCTTACATCAGCTAGTAACATGCTATAACTTCCAGTAATCCTACAGATCTGGTCCGAAACTATGCCATACAATGACAGCATTACAGTGTCATATCATGCTGTACAATACTATAGTTGCAAAGCAAGCAACCCATGAGGAACATACTAACATGCCAGCATGGCTTTCTGGAACCACAGATCTCAACGTAACTGCGGTGAACAATCTACATTGGTGTGTCCTTTCTTACAATCTAGTCGAGCGATTAATCTATGTGATCGCCCGGGGTACATCGGCCAGGTCGAGGGAGAGTTTGTTTTGAAACGTACTGTATGAATATATACATAACAAAGAGTATATGTTTGGATTTGGGTGTTCAGAGCAATAGCGGGACCAGACATTCCAAGTGGATGTTTGTTGAGTGCCAATACTCCACGAAGCACTGATCTGTTGGTTATGTGACAACTTTCTTCCACTGTGTCTGTTATGGCTTTACGATGAAACTTGTTACGTTTCTTCTGATGTCAATATGCGTCCAATAGTCTTAGTTCGTGATGTGATTAAGTAAACATCCGCCAGTCAATCATCACATTTCCTGATGCTGTTATGTAACCAATCATCACATTTCCTGATGCTAATATGTAACCAATCATCACATTTCCTGATGCTGTTATGTAACCAATCATCACATTTCCTGATGCTGTTATGTAACCAATCATCACATTTCCTGATGCTGTTATGTAACCAATCATCACATTTCCTGATGCTAATATGTAACCAATCATCACATTTCCTGATGCTAATATGTAATCAATCATCACATTTCCTGATGCTAATATGTAACCAATCATCACATTTCCTGATGCTGTTATGTAACCAATCATCACATTTCCTGATGCTAATATGTAACCAATTATCACATTTCCTGATGCTAATATGTAACCAATCATCACATTTCCTGATGCTAATATGTAACCAATCATCACATTTCCTGATGCTAATATGTAACCAATCATCACATTTCCTGATGCTAATATGTAACCAATCATCACATTTCTTGATGCTAATATGAAACCAATCATCACATTTCCTGATGCTAATATGTAACCAATCATCACATTTCCTGATGCTGTTATGTAACCAATCATCACATTTCCTGATGCTGTTATGTAACCAATCATCACATTTCCTGATGCTAATATGTAACCAATCATCACATTTCCTGATGCTGTTATGTAACCAATCATCACATTTCCTGATGCTAATATGTAACCAATCATCACATTTCCTGATGCTAATATGTAACCAATCATCACATTTCCTGATGCTGTTATGTAACCAATCATCACATTTCCTGAGGCTGTTATGTAACCAATCATCACATTTCCTGATGCTGTTATGTAACCAATCATCACATTTCCTGTGATGCAATCAAACCTTGACCTTGAAAGCCGTGTTTGAGGAACTGCAAAGAATGTGCTGGATTCATTCCAGGTAAGTCATCTCTGCGCCAATATGCCAGACGTGGACGAAAGTAGAACGAGAGTAGCTGATTCAAAATGTCACCAACTGCTTTATGGAATAATAGGTGGATGAATAGCGACAAAACAGTTTTACATCTATAAATAGGTTTTAATAAATGGTTTCCTTTTCAGTATGCATAATCTGACCAATCATCTGTCTGTTTCAGTTTCGTAACAGCTCCTCCCTGAGCCTGTGTGATATTCAAGTAACAGACCTACACGACTGCCCCAGGTGAGTGTAGTCGCCCACGTCGATCTTGTATGACGTCATCAGGAACATGTGACTAACATTGTATATTAAGTCATCTCATGTTGACATTAGAGGTCTCTTGTTTAACATCAGGTTATACCGCCACTGAGTGGTATATCAGATTCCAATCACCAGTTGGTTGACCAGCATTCGTCATTCTGAACATTAAAGGTGATTTTGTTTAACATGTAAGCAGAGCCAGTTTAACATATCGTTACATTACAGGTGATTTTGTTTAACATGTAAGCAGAGCCAGTTTAACATATCGTTACATTAGAAAGGAATAGCCTTGAGGAAGATATATTTGGTCAAGCGTAGGTATGGCACCTTTCTCATTTTGAAGCGTACCATATCGATTTTATGGTGTGTTGAGAAACATCTGTTCTCCCATTAGACTGTTGGCAATCTGAACAGGCTAGGTAGGCCTATGCGCGTGTGTCTCTGTGTGTGTCTGCCTGTGTGTCTGTCTATCTGTGTTTGTGTGTGTGTGTGTGTGTGTGCGTGCGTGCGCGCGCACTCGTATTGGCGTTGGCAATACTTGTTCTACTTATGTTTTGAATGTATGAAAACTGACCACTTCTTGTTCTGGATATAAACTATACCTGATACCTGATACCTGTAACCTGATTTCCCCCAGCCAGGTGTGATTCTATCAGCATTTAGTCCTTGACCTTGACCTGATACCTGTAACCTGATTTCCCCCAGCCAGGTGTGATTCTATCAGCATTTAGTCCTTGACCTTGACCTGATACCTGTAACCTGATTTCCCCCAGCCAGGTGTGATTCTATCAGCATTTAGTCCTTGACCTTGACCTGATACCTGTAACCTAATTTCCCCGAGCCAGGTGTGATTCTATCAGCATTTAGACCTTGACCTTGACCTGATACCTGTAACCTGATTTCCCCCAGCCAGGTGTGATTCTATCAGCATTTAGTCCTTGACCTTGACCTGATACCTGTAACCTGATTTCCCCCAGCCAGGTGTGATTCTATCAGCATTTAGTCCTTGACCTTGACCTGATACCTGTAACCTGATTTCCCCCAGCCAGGTGTGATTCTATCAGCATTTAGTCCTTGACCTTGACCTGATACCTGTAACCTGATTCCCCCCAGCCAGGTGTGATTCTATCAGCATTTAGTCCTTGACCTTGACCTGATACCTGTAACCTAATTTCCCCCAGCCAGATGTGATTCTATCAGCATTTAGACCTTGACCTTGACCTGATACCTGTAACCTGATTTCCCCCAGCCAGGTGTGATTCTATCAGCATTTATACCTTGACCTTGACCTGATACCTGTAACCTGATTTCCCCCAGCCAGGTGTGATTCTATCAGCATTTAGACCTTGACCTTGACCTGATACCTGTAACCTAATTTCCCCCAGCCAGGTGTGATTCTATCAGCATTTAGACCTTGACCTTGACCTGATACCTGTAACCTGATTTCCCCCAGCCAGGTGTGATTCTATCAGCATTTAGTCCTTGACCTTGACCTGATACCTGTAACCTGATTTCCCCTAGCCAGGTGTGATTCTATCAGCATTTAGTCCTTGACCTTGACCTGATACCTGTAACCTGATTTCCCCCAGCCAGGTGTGATTCTATCAGCATTTAGTCCTTGACCTTGACCTGATACCTGTAACCTGATTTCCCCCAGCCAGGTGTGATTCTATCAGCATTTAGACCTTGACCTTGACCTGATACCTGTAACCTGATTTCACCTAGCCAGGTGTGATTCTATCAGCATTTATACCTTGACCTTGACCTGATACCTGTAACCTGATTTCCCCCAGCCAGGTGTGATTCTATCAGCATTTAGTCCTTGACCTTGACCTGATACCTGTAACCTGATTTCCTCCAGCCAGGTGTGATTCTATCAGCATTTAGTCTTTGACCTTGACCTGATACCTGTAACCTGATTTCCCCCAGCCAGGTGTGATTCTATCAGCATTTAGTCCTTGACCATATGTTGTATATACGTTTCCATCACAAGACAATATTTCCCCACCACAACGTACTGGTTTCACTATCACAGCCCACCGCTATTTGATCACAAGACAATATTTCCCCATCACAATGTACTGGTTTCCCTATCACAGCGCACCACGTTTCCATCACAACACAATATTTCCCCATCACAATGTACTGGTTTCCCTATCACAGCCCATCGCTATTTGGTCACAAGACAATATTTCCCCATTAAAACGTACCTTCAGCAGTTCAATGAGGTGCTACTGGAAACAGGAAAACGGATGTTTGAACACAAAAAGAAGAAGAGAAAAGAATGGATATCAGATGACACCTGGAGGAAAATAGAAATGCGAAAAGGGAAAAAGAGTAAAATCCTTGGCACCAGGTCGCAGAGATTAACAGAACAATTGCAGACAAGAGGAGATACATCGAAAGAATAGCAGAGGAAGCCGAGCAAGTAGCATCTAAACAAGACATGAAAACCCTCTACAGACTGACCAAGACACTCTGAGGGAAATGCCAAACTGCTGCTGATCCGGTCAGACCAACAGGGAAACATCGTGTCCAAAGAGGAAGAAGTCATGCTGCGCTGGAAAGAACACTCCGAGAAAGTGCTGAACCGGGAAGACCAAGATATAGAAGCAAACATTGAACCTGCAGCCGACGGCCTGGACATCAGCACAGAACCACCGAACATTGAAGAGGTGAAAAGAGTAATGAGGGCACTTAAGAACGGGAGAGCACCAGGAATGAACCAGATATATACAGATATGCTCAAGGCAGAGGACACCAGCGCTACTAACAGACATAATATCAAACATATGGGAGTCTGAAGAAGCGCCTGAGACCTGGAAGATAGGCTTATTAGTAAAACTGCCAAAGAAAGGGGATTTGACCAACTGCGATAACTGGAGAGGGATAATGTTGCTATCTGTGACCAGCAAAGTACTGAGCCGAGTAATCCTCAACAGACTTTCGAGAACCATGGACACACTCATGCGAGAAGAACAAGCTGGCTTCAGGAAAGGAAGATCATGCATGGACCAAATATTCACCCTCAGACAGATCACAGAACAAAGTAACGAATGGAACGCAACCGTCTATGCCAACTTCATAGACTTTTCCAAGGCCTTCGACAGTATTAACAGAGCCGCTCTCTGGAAAATCCTCACCCAGGGATCCCAGACAAACTATCATGAAGATGCTGTACAACAACTTCAGCACCAGAGTCATATGTGGATCGACCGTAACCGAGGACTTCAACATCAGAACAGGGGTGAAACAAGGCTGTATCTTATCCCCGCTCCCCTTCACCATCTGCTTGGACTGGGTACTAAAGAGAGTCACCGAGAGCAAGCAAAGAGGAATCAGCTGGACATTCACCCAGAGTCTAGAAGATCTTGACTTTGCTGACGACATTGCCCTGCTCGCCCAACGTTTCCAAGACATCCAAAGCAAAACACAAGACCTTGCCACAACAGAAGAAACGATTGGCTTGAAGATCAACACCGAGAAGACCAAAATTCTCAAGATTAATGCCAAATCTACACTGCCAGTATCCCTTGGAAGTACAAACATCGACGAAGTTCAAGACTTCTCCTATCTTGGCAGCAAGAAGCAGATGTACAGTCAAGAATAGGCAAAGCTAGCGGAGTGTTCAGTTCACTGAAGAACATCTGGAGGTCAAAATCAATGAGCACAATCACCAAAATGCGAATCTTCAAGAGCAACATTCTTGGAGTCCTATTGTATGGAGCAGAATCCTGGAAGATATCCCACAACATCTGCAACAAACTTGATGTATTCCAAACCAGATATCTCAGAAGAATACTTCGCATCTTCTGGCCAAGCACCATCTAAAATGAAGAACAGTACATGCGCATGAACACCAGCCCACTGTCCCTCGAGATCCAGAAGAGAAAATGGCGTTGGATCGGTCATGTCTGCAGGATGCACCCAGATTCCATACCAAGGGTTGCTATGCGATGGACACCAACAGGAAAAAGAAACAGAGGACATCCAAAGGAGACATGGAGAAGATCTGTGGAGGCAGCGATGAAGGTCGCAGGATGGACCTCGGGACAGGTGCAGCAATGGGCCCAGGATAGACAGCATTGGAAAACTCTAGTAACGGCCTTATGTGCTAAGAGTACGAAGAGGATTAAGTAAGTAAGTAAGTACAACGTACTCAGTTTCCCAATGACAGACCACCACGTTTCCATCACAAGACAATATTTCCCCATCACAACGTACTGGTTTCCCTATCACAGCCCACCGCTATTTGGTCACAAGATAAGGTTTCCCCACCAAAACATTATATTTCCTTATGCTAACTCACGTTTCCCCTGTAAGATCTCAACGTTCATCCGTCACAACACAATATCTTTCTATCACAATGCTGTTTCCTATAACAACTGCAATGTTGTCCATCACAGCAGTGCTCCCTGCGCACAACATAATGTAGCAATATAATATGTTTATCAAACATAAACACGACACAGTACGTAAATGTCACGTAACATTACGTAACTGCCATGTAGCCGTACGTATTTGTCATGTAACAAACCGTACGTAAGTGTCATGTAACAAACCGCAGGTAACTGTCACGTAACCGCAACACGGCAATCCAGTTCCCACAACAAACATCGTCTAGGGCCTTACTGTACGTATCAGCCATTCACAGTGGCTGCTTTCACCATGATTCACCAGACCTCTTACTGTACGTATCAGCCATTCACAGTGGCTGCTTTCACCATGATTCACCAGACCTCTTACTGTACATATCAGCCAATCACAGTGGCTGCTTTTACCATGTTTCACCAGACCTCTTGCTGTATGTATCAGCCAATCACAGTGACTGCTTTCACCATGATTCACCAGACCTCTTTCTGTATGTATCAGCCAATCACAGTGACTGCTTTCACCATGATTCACCAGACCTCTTACTGTATGTATCAGCCAATCACAGTGGTTGCTTTCACCATGATTCACCAGACCTTTTACTGTATGTA